AGCTTGATATATTGTATAAAAAGCCGACAGATAATTATTTTAAATTTTCCGCTTATGTGTAAAAACTCAAACATAAAAACAAATCATTTTAGATACAATATACTTAAAATTAGAACTGTTGGTCTTAGTGTAATGAATGTCATTAAATGTGAAAAAAGTTTATCGAGATTATGCTTTTCAATTTCGGTAAAAAATCCTTTAGTTAATTGAAAACGTTTGGCATTAACAATAATCGCTAACAATTGAACAATAATTTGAGCATTGTCATATGAATTACTCTCATATATCTGTGTCAAATCATTTAGCAGTTCTGTTGTAAAATCCGTCTGAAATATTTTTTCTAATGTTGACAAATCATATTGTTTCAAATATTCAAATTTCATCGCACTAGTTTGACAACGACGCCATTGTAGAATAAATTCAGGTAGGTATTTTGGTAAATGGACAAAAGCTGAAGTAAACAATAAACAAATACTGAAACATATCTAAGAGCACACATTAATACCCTAGAGCGAGCAAAACCAGGTGTATATTCCTTATACAATCATAGATGCTTACTTTTGGATTGAATAGGAGACGTTGCTGTAGTTATTGCAGGTAGGGTGGTAGCCGATGCTGAATCTTGTCTCGCTGCTTGTTGATTCCAACTGACTTGTTTATAATGTTCAAATGTTAATGTTTCATTCTTATCTAACGGTTTCAAATGCGACGCGGCTACGATTTGTCGAAATTCATCATAAGACGCGCAACGTTGTTCAATTGCACGAAATTTTGCAGAATTTCGTTGCCAATAGACGGTTTCAGCCTGTTTTTCTTTTGAAAAATTCTCGGCTAATTTACGGAAATTAATATTAACCGATGAGGATGTCATGCTCTATAAATTATGAAAATATTAAAAGATATGAACTCTCATCCGTTTAAATCTTTGTCAGTAAACGGAAAAGTCGTCCTAGAAGTTATGCGAAAAGCTAAACAATATTTTGTAAACTGTGTAAAAAGAGTATCTTCGTAAACTTCTGTCAGCATTGAAAAAACTTAATTGATTGAATGAAAGTTTTAGGGTAAGCCAAACACAAACCAAGTTTTCCGAATCTATTTTTCTGTTTTGGATTCTTGTTAATTTACGTTGCTTCTAAACTATTCTTAAACATCTGAACATGTTTTTCCAACAAAAGAGGAATGCACGAAATAAGAGGCTTATTGTCATTAGGGTATACACCATCAATATCTGGCTCATACTTAATCAGATAGCGTTCAGAGTTCTTAGTAAGTGAAAGTAATTCTTCCTCATTACTATCAAAGTTAAATTCACCTATTTGAAGTGGAAAGTACACTTTCGAAGTACTCTAAATTCGTGCAGATGAAGGTAAGGTTAGTCTAAATATATTTTGTTTTTCTAATAACCAAAACTACCTTAAGTTTCACGAATTAAGTATGTCTTAAATTAGACTTAAACTGGATGTCTAATTTAGGTCTAGTGCCTGGTGTTCTTTTTTGTGAAAAAGAAACCACCCATGATACACAAGTAAGAAAGAGTGGCAATACTAAAGACAAAAGAAGACTAAAGTATAAGACAGGAACTCATGGAGTAACCAATAAAAAAAATATAAAAGTACAAAATATAAACAAAAGTAAAGAAAACTAACATGAGCATGAGTTGACTAGAAATAATCTATTTTTTACTGTAAAAGAGGTTGAGATACAGCTCTGTTAAACGAAAAAGAAAAACGAATTACTGATTCTGGTAGTTTATTGCATTCAGGGGCAGTTGTGGAAACGAAGAGTGAACTATATGAAAAGAAAGACAATTAATATGAAAGATATAGGGCGATCGTTAATAAGAATAAGAAAAAAAGTGGACCAAGTACGCTGCCTTCAGACACAACAGAAAGAATAGAAGAAGGAGACGCGACAGAGTCATCCATCTGCACGTACTGAGAACAATTTGATAGGTAAGTGCCTATAGTGTAAAATACATCTGCTTCTTGTTGCTAAGCAGCCATGTTTCGAAGCAAGAGAGTCCTTGCACTCTTTAAATTTTTACTTTAGTAGAATTATTATTGGTCAATGAACAAACAAATTGTAGATCGTTGATAGCACCTGATGATAACAGAACGAAAGAGAAAAATAAAACATGAAAAGATTGTTTTTGGTCAAAGTACGCTTTACTTTGCACTATAGGCGTGAATATGTAAATGAAAATTTATTATTCTTTTTTCTGTATTGTTTTTTACTGTTCCATAAAGATAAAAAATATAGAACGAAAGAAGTACGCTAAAAAATTAAAGGGCATCCTAAGGTTGAGTTCAGGGATGTGTTTCGCATCACAATCTAAGTCTAACTTAAGTAAAGACAAAACTAAGTCTTTTACTTAAGTTCATTTTAACCTAAGACATGTCTTAATTTGTTTCACAAATAAGACTTAACTTACACCTATGTTAAACATTTAACTTGAGACTTAACCTGAAAAACTAAGAGATAGTTCAGGTTACCAGACATGAATTTCAAGTTTATTTTAAACTTAAAAGCTTAATTTAGACAACTAATTTAATTTTAGCTCAATTTTTTTAAGAGTCACATCAGGTCTTAGTGTAATCTAACCGTTATGTACAACATTACTCTAGGATGATCAGATATTCGACAGACCGCCGATTTGTCTGTCTATGCTTGATTATAACTGGTTTTATATCAGTTATATTTCTCTTTCTTGATCTACGGACTTGATGGCGTTGAAAGATGATTACATCATTTTTTGTTTACTTATATCGAAATGTGAATAAAGATTGAAAAAGCATAACAATTCTTTATTTTTGATGTCCGAAGTTAGCTATTCTATACATGATTTTCGGCACATGACACAGTTTTCAATTTAGTTAGTAAAATGTAAATTTTTGAATTTGTTTCAATGTTTTGTCGTGTAAGCGTGCACATATTTCTAGATCTTTGTTAAATAATTTGTTCCTCTGCTGAGCTGCTGATTGATTAGGTACCCACGCTTTTTGATATACATTCGTTTGGGCATTTTATCGCATTATTAGTTACCGTTTTCTTTTGTAGATTTATTGATATTAGCCATATGAACGTAAAACACTTGGTTATTGATTTTCGACAGCCGTTTTGTCGTTTGATCTCTTTAAGAAGACGAATATGTTCGTTACAGCATAAAAGAAGAAGAAAAACGGAAACGTTTGCTGATTGTTCATCTTTTAGAGTCGATAATTATAGTTTCGAGAATACATCTGTCTATATAAACAGTTTCACACATTTGACTGTTTTTCTTCAATTTTAAATTTTCTATTCTTCTATCAAATCATATAGAAGATAAATCACCTTTTTTCGACTCCACATACCTATTTCTATGAATAGAATGGAAAAGATTAATTAAAGTTAAACAAAATGTTAAACATGCGAAAAAACGAAAAAGAAAACAAATGTATCTATTTTTCTCTCTCATCCGTTGAACATTTGTCAAGCGTTTCCTTTTCTTTTTGTCTACGTAAACCATGTATGACAATTTGTGTGAAAAATCACAGAAAAAAAATTTTTTTTTCTTGTTAATATCAAATGAGTATATGCAGAGTGAATTCGCCGGTAATGTAAGTAATTACAAAACTGTAGTTCACCATAGAACTTAGTCAACTTCTATGTATGTATCCAAATTGATTTTATATTTGAATACTTTATGGTTAGACTTATATAACGAGATTCTTTCTCGGTTTCATTTTCATGCAGACAAAACCTATGGCTAGCAGATTCGATTTTTTGAGATTGATCGTAATTTCTCGTTTTTCCTTTCACATTGTGCCATAAATTAAAAATAGAATTCGTTTACAGTTCAGCACAATAGACAAAATAACTGTTTGGCTTTTACGAGAGAGAACTGAACGTTTTGCAACTGAGAACTTATAATTTTCTAACAGGCTTACTAATGTTAATCAGCTATTCTTTTTTCATATTAGCTTATTGAGATAAAAAATTATACTATGGAAAATTTCAAATTGTTTTTAGATTTAAGTTTATTGCTCTTTGTTTTATTCAACTCTTCCTCTAACTTTCTGTCGCTTATTCAATGTGTGAATCGACGTTGTATTCGTCTCCATCATCACATTCAAAATCTTATATCAAAGTTGAAGATCAAAATCAAACTGAATTAGACAAGTTATTTCGTGTTGCGACCAATCCGCATCATATCGAACGCAGTCGTCATATATCAAAACCGTTTCGTGAACGAGACTTGCCGGAGTCATTTTTTCAACCACCAAAATCAACATCAGCCTCATCATCAACAAATTCAATTCCAGTAGCAGAAAGTAGTTCTACTGTTGCTCATCATCTACATGTTAAAAATCAACTAAGTTTACCAAATATTCCATCTTCGAGAACAATCATCAGTAATGATCCTACTCGAGGACATCTACGAACAGCATCTGATACAGCCGTTCTAGATGGACCAGGTGGATCAACAGGAGGCATATCACAATTAGAATTACAAACAAACTCGCAAATATCTGTATTACCAATGCCAGAGGGATGGGAAATGAAGAAGACGACAGATGGACAAACATATTTTATCGAGTAACTAGTTTTCGTTAATTTATTCTTTAGTTTTGCATCTAAAGTATAACCTGAGTTTTTATCATATTGTTTTAGTCATTTAACTCAAGTGACAACTTGGAATGATCCTCGCCCTTTTCATTATCAACAATTTTCATTATATGTTCAAACTCTTCCTCTTCCAGATGGTTATGAACAAGCACATGACTTAAAAGGAAACACCTATTATATAAATCATCATCTACAACAAACACAGTGGGATGATCCAAGATTAGGTGATAAACTAACAATACTCTGTCTACTTTACTTTATTTTATATCACTTTAAATCCTTTTTAGCGTATTATTGGTCAATATCAACAAAACGTTTGGATACCGGTGCTTCAGATAGTGTCGCTACTCAACCATCCATCTCACCGATAGCATCAACAACATCTCCTCATAGCATTTCTCATCGTTCACCGTCTGGTGGCAGATTAGTTTCATCAAATTCATCAACAAGCGGTGTTTCGACCCATGGTACATCTGCACCTGTCTCGTCACCATATCAAAATGAAACATTGAAACAAAAACTATATGTAATTATGAATGAACAAAGAGCATTACAACAACGAAAAGAAGAATTAGAAAGAATGGTACGTAACTACATAATTTCCTATTCTATTGTTAGTTCTACTGTGACTATTTTCAGACAGAAATTTTGTTATTATGATAATGGTAAAGTAATTGAAAGTAGAATCAGCGCTATTTGTTTTGTGTTGTTTTTTCTCGGTGATGGTCGTCGTTTTGTTTTGTCTATTTTCTACTACTGGTTATGCTAGCGCTAAGCACTACATAATCACTAAAATTCTGGGTGCGCAGTTTTGTTGTTTTTTGGCTGAAGCAAGAACAATCATGTTTCTTAGTTGTAGTTTTGGACTCTAAGGATGTGTTCGTTTTGGGTCTTAGAAATATTTTCTGTGATTATTTTAGAAATAGAAGTCAGATATGCTAAATCTCCCACCCAAACATCTTCAACAGAGAAAAATTCCCGAGTATAATCAACGAATGATTTTTGAGCAGTTGAGATTTATAGCCCACGAGATCCTACACGCAAAATTTTATTGTATTATTTGAACATTAGACGATACTGTATCGAATGATACGTACGCAAAAAATGTATTGATCAATAACGCTAAAAGTTTTAGCGTTAACGCTAAAAGGTTTTGTCTATCCTTGTTTGCATATGATTTTTCAACGTCTTGGATTTTTGTGATTTATTCGAGTTTTTAACAAATATTGATGGCTAAGTTGTAAGTCACGGAACAAAGCTGAGTCGCATGATGTACGCTACGTTGGTTATATTGAAACGAAGAAACATTTTAAAAGAATTCCTCCTGTCGTACGCTGAGGCAAGGTGATGATTTCTACATTTTTCTCTGGTAGTGAGTGACTAGACCAAAGTGAATGACTTTGCTTTCACGGTACGCATACATATTTCGAAGAAAAATAAATAGCCTTTGTGTTTGTTCACAAGTTATTTTTTATTTATTATCGTTTTCTATGCTTTGTTGTTCTGTCTTAAATATGGCCTATATTTGTGCTAGTATAAACACTACGATCAACGTATAACGGTTTATTATATCTCATGTTGTTTTTTTCAAGGAAGCCGATGTTCGTAAAATGCTAAACGACCGTTGCAATGTTAATTTATCATCCGATCAACAAGCAAATATCGATTCAATTTTAGAACTTTTACATCATCGTCGACAAAATAGTGAAGATAGTGGAGTTGGAGAAGGTAAATGCTCTGAAGGATATTAATAATTCTAGATGATCACTCGAATGAAAAATTTTTAAAACAAAATAATCTGTTTATCACCTTCTATTTTAAGGATTCATTAAATTCATTTTCATTTCTAGGACGTAGCAGTATTAATCGTACACCAGATGCTTTGGTATCTGGCGATGATTCAATGTTTCTTAATCCAATAGGTATGTCGAAGATTTAAACACATAGTTTGCTTATCTTTTGAAATAGTCATTGTTCATTGAAGCAATGAATTATCGTCATAATAATCCTCATAATATTGTGACATGGTCCGGGTATGTTGTCTGCTGCTTCATAAAGAGGAAAGTTAGGGAAGGGATGAGCATAACACTGAGGCACATTACTAACAAAAAAAACCACGCATAATGGCTCCAAAATGAAAATATTTCTTTCATCCATAAGTATGTTTTGCATTGGTTTTTATTTTCTGTTATCCAGATTACGGCAACTTTCCAATGGAAATGGATGTACAACAGTCCATTTTACCGGAATTGAACGAACCACAACTTAAAGTAAGAAGTTGAGATATTTATATAAAAAGAATATTTTAGTTTATTATAAATTCAGCTTTAACTAGATTTTAAAATACTTATGGGACCTACAAATGTCTATACTTCCCGTGTTTGTAGTTAGAAATGCAATTATTTTTTAAAATAGAACATTTTTAGTGACAAAAAAAAAGGATTAAAATTTGAAAATTATCTATTATAGAGAAATTTGGTGGGAAATGTATCTTATTTACATCGTATAGTATAAATGTAAACTGCATACAAGATTAATGAAAACATTTGTTTGCTAAACGCTATGAAATCATGTAGTTTTGTCTCTAATATTAATATCAATTAAATTTTTCGCTCGTTGTATGTAACACCATGTTCTATGAAAAATTTAAAAAGAAGACTGATTCTCGGCTAATTTCTATTACATGAATTTGATTTGTAGTAGAATTTATGAGCCACTGTTCTAAAATAATTCGTGAAAAGAAGCTCATATTTACATTATATATTTCTTTGTTCCACAGGAACTTACAGATTTATTTGGTTACAAATAATAGACATGGGTATAATATCTATATCTTCTTTTGCTCTTTTTCTTTTGATTATGCTTAATTAATCTTAAGCTTCGACTTTGCTTGTATATTAGCACTATTAACTTATTGCTTGTTGCTACTAGTAACAACTTCTTTTCATTAAATACGTTTCTATTGTTTTTTTCTCTGTTTAGGTCGGTCATTTGTTTAGTGGTCATTTGTCATCATCAAAACAAATTTGGCTTTAATTGGTTTAATGAACATTTTTCATTATGCTTATTGTTTTATTTATTCAATTTCGAGGATTATTTTCTTTTATTAAAAAGAGAACATTTTTTACATCCAAATTTAATGTCAGTATTTATTCTCGAACACTCAAGAGCCTTTTTTCATTAAAAAAAAAACTGCTCTCTTATCAGAAAACCATAAAATTCGTTTTCGCTCTCTTTCGGTGTTTTCTTATAACCCCAGTGAATTTAAAGAAGATGTATGTTTTTTTCTCTGCAATTTAATTGTATCTTCGTTCACATTCGTTTTTCTTTTGTTCTGCTCACAAAAAATTTAATATTGTTCGGATTTTTCTTTCTCTTATTCGAAAATTGTAAATAATATTAGATTTTTTCGATATTTTTCAGCAGTTGACATTAGCTGAAATGTTATATACTAGAATTTCATACGGAAATGTCATGTGACATCTTTCTAAATGATCATTCTTTCATGTGTTGGACTCGAGTTCAGAGAAAGGTTGATTGATAGGGAGGCGTGTGTAGGAGAATTTTTTCAGTGTGCTAAAAATTCATCCCTTATGTTAATGTGAACTTATGAATGTATTTTGAAATATATATCTCAACGTTCTGTCCGTAGCTTCTGTTTCAAGCTTCTATATTTTTTCTATAATTCATTGTTATTACTATTTCCACTAGAGAATGATTATGCATGTCTTGATGGATTTATTATGTAACCGAATGTATGTACGTATGTATCAAATCGATTGTTATAAAAATGCCCCGGTGCGCGTGTGAAGCTATCTTTCTTACTCTTTAATTTGGTGATTGTATTTCGTTTTCTAACGCACCTAAATCGTTTTTTGTTTTGTTTTTTAATCTAAAATTCACACGATGATCATGATGATAGATTTTCGTTATTGTTGCGTTTTTCGTTTGTTGCGTTTCTTATTTGCTGCATAAATAGAAAGAAATGAAATATTATAGCTTTTCAGCTGCTGTGTTTTTTTCGTTGATGATATAAACAATGTGCGTTCGACCCAGTGTTTTTGTTTTTATTTTTAAATTTTGAAAATTCATTAATGTTTTTTCCGCAGTTCAATGTAATAAAAGTAATATATAGTTTTTCAAATCAAATTAATATTAGCAAAAGTTTATCATGATATTTGATTCTGATTTAATTTATAAATTTGGACAATAATATATTTGTTGTCTTATCTTTAGATTTTATAGTCTATGTTGAATATTTATGGTCAATATGATACTGATGATCATGGTTACAGTGTGAAATATTCTCCACATATTCTTAATCAATTAGCATTAGTTACAAATGAAAATTATGGAATTAAAGGTCAAGGTACATTACATATTGTACAGGAACAAAATGGTGGTCAACTAGAAATTAAACAAAAACTAAAATATATTGATGCTCTATTTGATGTTACATTCTCTGAAATTGATCCAACTCTAATTGTATGTGCAGGAGCTGATTCTTCAATAACGTTATGGAAAGAGAATATTGGTTTGATTCAGACTTTTAAACAACATTCAAAAGAAGTATGGTGTGTACATTGGAGTGAAAGTAGAACAAATGATCAATTATTGTCAACGTCATCTGATTCGACAATTAAATTATGGGATTTAAATCGGTCAGTGTCATAGAATAGAGTGAAAAATCAGAGTTAGTGAAGCGTAACATTTCAGAAAAAAACAAAATTGCTGAAAAATGATTTTTATTGTTTGTTTATTGTAAAACTGTCTATGTTACTCTCTAGCAAGAATAGATCGTATCTTACTGTCATATATTTATATTTTTCTTTGTTTATTTTAGTCCAGATAATCATGCTGAAACATTACATGGTCATGAATCAATCATTTATTGTGCTCAATGGAATCCTCATCAATCCGGTCTTATATCTTCGGTGGGAGCTGATCATTCACTTCGTTTGTGGAATATAAAACAATCCATTAGTCAACCCATATTTACAATGGTCGAGTGTCATCCAACTGAAATTCTCTGCTGTGATTGGTCCAGATATGATTCTCATCTATTAGTAACTGGCGGCTGTGATAATGTTTTAAGATTATGGGATATACGCTCAATGAAACAGAACTGTTGTGCTTTCTATGTTGGACATGAATCAGCCATTAGGCGATGTAAATTTGCTTCTTATACGCGTAATCTATTTGCGTCAGTGGGATATGACATGCATTTAAAATTATGGGATATTAGTGGTCAATGTAAATTATCAGAGAAAATAAGTTCAGAATTTGTGTATGGACTCGATTGGAACTTGTTTCAGCAGAAAAAATTAGCGGTTTGCTCGTGGGATCGAGCAATGAAATTAGTTGAATTCTTGTGAAAAATGAGGTTTTTTTAATTTTTATACAATGAGAATGATTTTATTTTATTTTCTATTTATTTTTAAAATAAAATGCAAAAATTACATAAGTCAAAATCTGAATGGTGAGCAGATAGTTTTCATTTTTAATACACGTATTTTTAGTTCATTTTGTCACCAGTCTTTATTTGTTGTATTTCAGAAATATTGATTAAACAATGCTCACATAAAATACATGCACTTTATCCTGTTCGTAATTAAAAGAGTTGTTGACAAGAATATGAGAAAAGCTTAAAACTTATAGAACACAGATAGTTTTGTGCTCTCTATAAAATGGCCGATTCAGAAAAATTTTCTGAATTTGGTCTCTAGTTTTCTGAAGATTCAGTTTTCAGAAAAACGATCAGCCAAAGCCTAAGGATAACTTCGATGTTCATATTTGGAACCAGCGTCATCAATTACATATCGTCCGCCTAGTTTTATCGAAAAAACGATTTGCATCTTGGAACCATTCCCTCATTAGACAAAGTCAACTCCCACAAACAAATGACGAACAAAAAACACGAAAAAACTTTTGTTACATTATAAAGCGATGAATGAGAAAAAAAGAGGTGTTGTCATACCAATCTATCAAATATATAGACCCTATTGCAAGAATCCGAATCTTATCTGTATTCTTGTAAATTCCATAAATATACACAGGATATGTATGCACACCCTACCTTTTCTCTTTCTTTTTTTAATTTTTTATTTTACTCTAACTCATATGGTAGTTACTGTTCTCAAGTTATTACTTTTTTGTAACTATCCATGGCGTGTGTTGCTGAATAAATTTCGATTTGATGTATGTCATCATGTCTGAATTATTAGAGTTTGAGATTTAATGCTAATTTGTATTAATATGTATAAATCTTCCTGTCAGAAATCTGTTTTCGACAACAAACACGCGATGTTCCCCACAATATCAGAGCATGTTATCCTAACTAGATTAGATTAGAGTATACACTTCAACTGGAATATTTAAGTTTTTTCATCTCATAATTACAGTAGCAAGGGTTCTCGCCATTTTAAGACCAAATAAAGTATTGTGTCATTTCAATTGGAAGAAAATCTGGGAGTTGGCGACGGCTGCTCTTAGGCAAAAAAAGAAATTTTGTAAAAAAATACAAAAGATCTTTGTACGTCTGAAGATTGATTTTTCGTACAGTATTCAGAATTTTTGGTACTTTAGGAGTTCAGCGCCTCAGGATCTCCTTTTTATAGTTTACTACTATTTATGTGCTGTTTTGTCCAATCTACATATTAATTCTTATACTTGCATTAGATTAAAGCACACAAGAGAAAAAGATTAGATAAGAAAGGTCACATTTTTTTTGTCTGCTACTACAACGTCGTTTTTGCCATACATGTCATGGCGCCCGTTTGTATGTTATTTCTTTGGCTACTAATATTCATTCCTTGATCATTCGGATTCAGTGTATTGATGATTAGTATCGGTGCTGCTGGTCATGTTATTCCAATGTTTGAACTAGCAAAAGCAATGAAAAATCATAATGTTACATTTATTACCGAGCCGTCTGCATAATCTTATATTAACTTTGAATCATATCCTAATTTGTCTTCATTTGTCTCATTTTTATAAATGATTCGGCTGATGCATTTACTGATCAGAAGAAAAGAGAACAAGAAAGAGTTGAGTATTTTACAAATCATTCAATATTTGATAGTATATCTGATTTTATGCCAGAAATAGGCCAGATTATAAACGGGCTAATGAACAAGACAGTGCATCTGTTAATGTTGGAACGATATGATGTGATCATTGTTAGTTCATTTCTCATAGGTATAAATGTTTTATGCAAGAAAGCATACGCGTCCTGTGTGATACAAAATGCGGAATTATTTACGAATATTTTTGATGTCAATTTGCCAAACAGTTATTCGTTACTATCATCAAAACAGATGACTGAATTCAAATATCGTATTTACAATGTTGCTTTTACTTTACGTTTGATAATGTCAGTACTCAAAAAATTGGTGCGATCATTCAACACAGTTTTACAATCGTTTCCATGAGTACCAGGACCATTTTACGAAGCTTTTACATGAAATCTTTTATTTACAAAATCCAAATGTTTAAAATTGAATTGTTTGCCACTAACGCTCTATCCACCATCGTCTTTACATCACTATACTAAATATCTTGGCGCATTTGTAGATGAATCATCAATCGAAAACGTTGACAATGATCTTACAAGGTGGATCAAATCGAAACCTACGAATTCTATTGTTTATGCGGTTTTCGGTAGTACTTCAGTAATACGACTCGGTCGAATGAAAAATTTGATCAATGGTCTAGCCATATTTCTTTCACAAACAGATGCTGCTTCTGTTTTACTGGCATTTCGTAATGCCAATTATGATAACTATGAAATTGTACTGAACGAGATAAAGAATGATGAATATCGACGTATTTTGATGGATGATCAACGGGTTAAAGTTGAAAATGGATTTTACAACAGAATTCCGTCAATCTATTCATAAGTCATTGTGGTATGGGCTCAAGTATAGAAGGACTTTATTTTCAAAAACCTATATTATGCTTGCCGTTATGCATGGATCAATTTCCAAACGCAATTGCAATTGATTGTTCGGGAGTCGGACAATCGTTATTTACACCACCATCTCCATTACAATCATTTATAAATTTAACTGATTTTCATCATTACTCATTTTCAGCTAGCAGTGTAACAACAAAACTTTCGACAATGTGGAGAAACAATACGTACGAAAAAACAGTTCGGATAATGTCACTTTAAATGAAACACGCTGGCGATGTGGAACGAGCCGTGAAAGAGATTGAATTCTTCGCTAATTTAAATGGTGATTTAGATCATGCTTTTAAAATATATGATTTTGACATAACTAGATCATAATTATAGTAGCCAAAGAAATAACATACAAACGGGCGCCATGACGTGTGTGGCAAAAACGACGTTGTAGTAGCAGGGAAAAAAATGTGACCTTTCTTATCTAATCTTTTTCTCTTGTGTGCTTTAATCTAATGCAAGTATAAGAATTAATATGTAAATTGGACAAAACGGCACATAAATAGTAATAAACTATAAAAAGGAGATCCTGAAGCGCTGAACTCCTAAAGTATCAAAAATTCTGAAAACTGATGACTAAATGATGTTGCGAACACACACGTGCACAAAAAACGAAAATGTGGATGGTATCTAAGAAGATAAGAAAGAAAGAGAAAAGCAGCAGCATCATTATATTTTCTGCATAGGAACAAAATTTCTAAGCAGAGAACAGAAAAGTGTGAATAATTGAGAACACAAAACGTGTTCTCAATATACAATTTATAGATATATGTGCTCCACTGAGAAATAATTTTATATTATATAACTGTGGTAAACGTGAAACGGTCTCCTCTCGTGAAATTTCGCATGACGAGACAAAACGAAACGGATTTTTGAATTATTCGGTGAGACGAAACGAGACAGCTTAGAAAAAACTTTGATGAAACGAGACGAAATCCGTTGTTTCTTAGTACACCGTTTGAAACGAATGATATCTCAAAAATTGATTGCAGAAGTGCGGAAGACTTTAACTCTCTTTCCATTTTTTTTGTATTTTTGATGCAATAAGCGTTAAATAAATAGATGAAGATGAAATGACGACGATTTTTTTACACGAGACGAGACGACATAGCTTTTAAAATCTTTTTCGATGTGAAACGAGACGTCTAAATTTTTTCACGATATGAAATAAAAACATCTATTTCTGAGAACTATCTAAGTCTGATGAAACTAAAATTGAAAGACAAATACTTTTCACATGGTCATGAAAAACTCTCGATGTTTTTTCGACTTCTTTTCTCGGGTTCGAATATTTCTTGCTGATATTCCTTTGACATTAACAAGTGGTTTCAAACGGTGAACTACACGAGTCAATGAGGACTGATTAGCCATAACAATAGTTAAATCCTAAAATAGATTGAAAATATAGACCATATATCCAATATCAACCAGTTTTCTTTTACCAACCTACCTTATAGGCTTGTGGACACTCATCCCGTAATGCAGCATTAACATCACACGTAATGCCACTCATTGCGTTTTCAAAATCTTCTTGACTAATGTTTTTCATTGCCTGAAAAACAAAATGTCTGAAGTAAAAGAACGTAACAATTGTATTTAAATTATACTTCGGTTCTTGAGAGCAATCTACCAGCCCCATGTGAACAAGAATAAAATGATTTTGGATCACCTAACCCTTCGACAATAAATGATCCTTCGCCCATTGATCCTGGTATAATACCGAGTTGTCCTTTACGTGCGCTTGTTGCACCTTTTCGTGTTATATAAAGTGTTTCCGTTGTGTTTTTACTTTCTATATAGACATCTTCAGTTTGACAATAATTGTGATGTATGTTCACTATTCGACTTTTATCAGCACTATAGCCGGTTACTTGTTTCATGATATCACACAAAATAGTCATCATTATACTTCGATTCTGTTTTGCATAATTCAAACACCAATTCATATCGAGCAAATAATCTTGTCCTTCTTGAGATTCTATTGATAAATATTTTAATTCATTTTTAATTGGTAAACATTTCTTTTTCATTTGTTTACCAGCTAAACTATGGTAATAATCACAGGTCTCCTTACCGATGCGTCTGCTACCGCTGAACAAAGACGTTATATTAAGAAAGCAGTAGTGTAAAACGATATAGTGTATTTAATTACATTTAATCGATCCTGTGTTTGACAAAAAAGTGTGATCGTAAAATTTTATTTTATATGACCCAAGCACAAAAAAATCGTTAGAAACGGCAAAAAACCGAGTTACGAAATTCCCGTTTTTTGACCCGTTTTAACACGGTTTCTATGGGATACAACGCGTGTAAACGCGTTTCATTTTCCGTTCACGAGTTTTTCAAAAAACGCGTTAAAACAGCCTTTTGAACACTTTAGAAACGCGTTACTCTTGCGTTAAACACGTACAAAAAACGCGTTTTCAGACGTTCTAGAACGCGTTTTAGATGAAATATTTAACGCATTTTTTGGTCGTTAAAAACGAGTGAGAACAGAAAATGAAACAAACGTTATGAAACACGTTTCTGGAACGATTCAGGAGTTGCAGACTCGATCCGATAACAATTTTTATTCTGTTTTAATGAGCAAAAAACGCGTTAAATGTTTCGTCTGAAACGGGTTCTAGAACGTCTGAAAACACGTTTTTTGTACGTTCTCAACGCAAAAGTAACGCGTTTCTAAAGTGTTCAAAAGACTGTTTTAACGCGTTTTGCTTCGTTTCAAACGAAAGATTTAACGCGTTTTTTGACCTTTAAAAACGGGAAGAAAACGCGTTTCAGGGACAATTTTTGTGTGCCTGGGCGAGCTTTCGTATGTTTTATCAAATTTCCAAGAAAAAAATGAAATCGTGTACTGCTTTATTTTTTTTTAAACTCATCTCTGATAAGTGGTTTTTGTAGTTAGTCTTTATTCTCATTTTCAATACTTATCAGTAAATAGAATATTTTAGACTGTTTATCTTTCTGAACTGAAGCTCAGTTTTATATTTGTAAACGTTAGTTTAACCAAATAATCTAAGGAGATCAGAGAAAACAAAAGTATTCAACATTTGCATACCTGTGTAGCATAACCCATATTTGCTCTGTTTCGTCGTATAAGACTTCGATGAAATGATTACCGCTTCCAAGTGTTCCAAGCTGAAATAGTGTAAATGTTTTGAAGTAAAATTCGAGACATTTGAGTCCTTCGCTGTCTAACACCAAGTAGTTAGTTATTTATTATTTCAGTTCCTTACTTGGTTTAAAGTGACATCTGTAATTCTATTTTTTAAATATGTCGTGTGTGATCCTAGAGATTTGATTATTTGGTTTACTTTAGGATATGGTTTTGATCGAGAATCGTGACCGGTTGGTATACGCTGTTTAATCGATTGTTGAATTTCAGTTTTCCATTTTTTCTTCAAATTCGAGATCGTTAATCCTTGAATGGGGACTGCGCACATTCCACATCCGACTAAAGTTTCCAAAAATAATGTTAACTGATAATGAGACTAGATTGAGTGATACTCTCAAATACTTCTAGAGCAAACAAATTATCACTAATGAATGAATGACTTACTATCAGAACCAACAGCATAGGGACTAATATGTGATCTCGAAGCAAAAACCGTGCCAATCGTGGCTCCAACACCTACGCTAAAATATTCAAATATTGAATGAAGTAGCCACAGCATTAAAGATAGGAGGATATGGATCTATCAGCTATTTTCTGCCAACCTAATAATTACATAATAAATGAGTAAAACTTACTGAGCATCCGGCATACATGCAACAAATTCCTCGGCGATTCCACTTTCAGCTAATGTAATCAGTTGCTGTAAAGCTTCTGATTCTAGAGAATGAGTATAAACATGTATTGGTACACCTGCTGTTTGAATGATTAATGGTAATGATACAGAAGCATTGGCAAGCAACGGCTGTTTTTTCGAATAAATTTCAGAATCCTGAGTGACTGATAATTTTTTCCTCCTCGTGTGTAAAGCTCTAATTTCTAACGATAAACTTGCATCACTGAACGACGTATTTGTCATCTTATTAAATGCTGATGACAAAAATTTTCCATCTATTTTTGATGTGAACTTTCTTAGGATGACAGACAACATGTTTAATGATAAGGATGAGCTTTACAGGTTTAATAATGACTGCTTGTTATCGTTTTTCTTATTGCACCAGATTTATTAACCGACGTAGCACATACATACTTCTCCATAAAGTCTAGTTTTATCGAAATAGTCTTGAATTACAAAATAAAACCTTGTAAATAATATTTCGTTGAGCAAAAAACTTCATAACAGAGCGCTGAGGATAAACATATTTTTTAAAACGAGTGCAGAGAAAATTCTTATAAATTGATCTCTTAGTTAATCATTAGTAACCAAATTCATATTTTGTATTTCTTTTAATTAATCAATACTAAAAACATCATTCAAGATCTGAATATGTAATACGGCTATGTGTGATGGTCATTAATAACAATAAGAAGAACATACCCTACCCGCTCACGTACATAGATGATGCTAAGCACCATTTGAAAAAATGCAAAAAAGTATGTTTTTCTTTAGTAAATATCGGATAGGAACATATGTAAGCTTAGCAAATTTAATATAGAAATAAAAACTAACAATTAACAAATAACAAAGTAGCCGATTTTTTCTATTGTTGTAGTTATAACGGCTGAAGTCGAATTATCCATTTCTTCTTTTAATTCTTCTTTTCGATTTGGTATTTCCGCTATCATCATCACCATCTAAAATAAGGAAAAAAATTAGTTTTATAAAATCAACACGCTGTTAACGATGTCCACAAGTTTCAGCTATTTTCTTCTTCAACTCTTCACTGGAGTCTTTCTGTTAATATTTTAAACTTTCCTAACTCTTTTAAAACTGATTTTACAGTATCGGCACCCTCATAAGCATAACAAATAATTCTAGTTTCTCAATACAAATACAATCTAACAAGACACTTTTGTTGTTCAAGTAATAATGTTCACTCTACGTCCACAGAACTAAATTTTCTAGATCCTTTCTCGGATTGTTTCAAAAAAATAAAGACAGTTTGTACAATTCTTAAGCTACAACTACTTAAAGAGCTACAATTACTATTAGTTGTATCTTATCCATAATAGAAGAAATGTAGGATCAGTGTTTTTAATAGGAATTTTTTTCAGAGTGGAACTTTCTACATTGCTGTTAGCATCAAAGTGGGATTTTCCACTATGATATGAAATGTAAAGTGGACAAAATGAGAACAGTTGAAATTTTTGTCTAATAGGGGCTAAAGAGATATTTTTATCGTCACAGGAGTTTCGCTTTACCACTTTCAGTTAAATGGACCGAAATTAACTTCTCTACTCCGATCAATTACAAATTCAACGACAAACATTTTAGATGACTCATCTAAAACAAAATCTAACTAAAAGAATATCTGTAAGTTGAACACTTCTGAAGAAAAAGAAACGCTGCAAAACTTTTATATGTTTAGATAAAAGTCACAAATCCTTTTTGACTAATATTCTGTTAATGTTAATCTCCAGACACTAGCCATGTCGTATTGTGATGAAAATCAGAGGATTAAACAGAAATTATGCTGGTTCTCTCGCTCACATGTGTTCAACAAACAGATCGATGGGTTAGTTTTCTGAGACAGAAAATATGAAAAGAAGATAAAGTGAAAATTCTCAAAAGTTAAAGTGGAAAAGCAAAATGGAATATACTTTTATCAGCGTGGAAAACAGAATGGAAATTCATTATTTAAAGTGGAAACCCATTTTGCTCTCGCTTGTCCCACTAATCATTAAACATACTGTGTAGGATTTCATCTTAGATTTTGATGAGATTTTCTCAGTATCTAGCCGTACCCAAGTTAGAGATAATCCTAAAGTCTCAACCTTAACTCTTGTCTTTTGTTGCCTTTCTGAAATATTAGACAATTAGAATTGAACAAAAATTTTTTTCTTTTTCCTTTATCAGCTTTTTTGAATTTCTGTATGGATCAAATCTGGTATAATACAGATATCCAATGGAGGCATTTTAAATGAAATGATCGTAATGTAGAGTTTAATATTAATTGATTAACTTATTGTCTAATAAAACTTACAACTTTAGATCATTCTTATTGAAAATAATTCTAGCCTTTCGCACAGTGTGCAGCAGGCAAACATTAGGCAAAAAAATGAAAATCAACTTTTCAACGGTTCAAATAGTGAACACTACACCTTAGCTCAAAAGATGCTCTATTTGACGGCATGATAGATTTTATTTCATACCTTATATAGCTTGGAAAAACAGCCGTCGAAAAATTAGTTGCAAAATCGTGACAATCGGACCGAGAAAAAATATTATGATCGTACTGAATTTTAAAGTTCTATGAAACCATCGTTTGGTATTTAGCTGATGAGCTGCTCTATAATGTATAATCTAAATTTAGTATTTGAAGTTATTTTTAAAGACATGGCAGATACACCGCCTGCAGATTGTCTCAATAACTGTATTTTTCCACGGACACCTTCCCTCGGATCTGCTCCACGTTTGTGTCTTCCCACGTTTGTGCTTTTACTTTTTACAGTGAATGTACAATATACAGAAAAGTATATGGTCATGGTCAAGTATGGTACGCCCTAGTGAATGTACTTGCGCAAGTACTTGGGTTAAGTAATAAGGACAGTGCTTGCGGATCACCCGCAAAGCCCACGAATAGGTACTCCCTAGAGAAAGTACTTGATAAGTAAAGTGTAAGTACTTCTCAGGGCGAGCAATCGTATATCAAGATTTCCTAAGATCATACGCTTTCGTGTTACAAGATCTTGTAAAATCTTGTCACGCCTTATGAGCTGATCATGTAAGACCCTATAACAAGAAGTTACAAGATTCCGCAGGATCTTACAACATCCTAAGACAAGATCTTGTAAGAACATGCCATAAGACCTTGTTACAAGGTTTCATACGAAAACGGCAGATCTTGTATGATCTTGTAAGATGACTTTCACTCGGGTGCACATAGTGCAAGTAAATTTACTTCAAAAGCTTTAGTCAAATACTTATTCCATTTATTAGGTGACTGCGATCACTTACGCTGCCGATGTCAGGTTGTACAGTGCATGCATGTTCGAACTTATCGTTCAAAGAAGTTATCTCTTTCAGTGGCAGCAGTAGTGATAGCAAGCACCTTGACAAGTATGCGGAGGTTAGCTGTCAATTCCAAAAATGTGCTGAATCGAGGGGGGATTTTTATTGAAAGCGATGAACGTTTTGTGTGGACAGAAGCTTCTTTTGTAACAAAAACTAGGTTTATACCAGAATTCCCAGATGGTTCGCATTTAGCGGACAAATTTCTGCATTTTGGAGTTTTTTCCGCATTTTAAGCATTTTCTGTTTTTTCCCTGTTCATATAAGATTTAAAAAGAAAATTTTCTATCTATTGAGGATTCTCTTCTCATCCTATTGTCCAGCTAAGTAGCCAGTCATTCGTCAATTTATAATTATTTCTCATCAACGCCAGATGTGCTTAAATTTATTCATTTTAATCAAAAATATACAGTCCAAAAACAACGTGTCAACTAAAATCGGGACTTACATTGCTGTTTGTTTTTCTCTTTCATTTTATTGAATAAAACCGCAAAGTGCTAGAGAAAACATTTTTTTGACTCTGTGCGTGAAAACGGCTGAAGTTAGACTATGAAAATGCGTTTCCAGTTTTTTTTCGCATTCTGAGAAAAAGTTTCCACAATTTTCCGCATTTCTGATTGAGCATCTGGGAACTCTGCCCTAGAAAAAAAATTTCAGTGCGGCACTGTCAATGCGCACCCGTGCCGAACCAGTACCGATATATTTCTAAATTTGTATTAGAATGCGGCACTGATCAGTACCACATCGACATGCCAAAACCATGCGGCACTTCTCTTATGAGAAGGAAAAGATGAAATCAGAAAGACATTCAAAATATTAGAAGTAGACTGTGGTGTTAATATAGACAGAAATTGACAAAACAAAATGGTGACTGAAAACAAAACTTCGGCACTGGTGCGTACCGGTGCGAAATTTTTCATTCTTTCTGGCACGGGTACCCGCCAGTGCGAGGTTTTTACATTCTTTCTGGCACTGGTACGCGCCGATGCGAGCTTTTTACATTCTTTCTGGCACGGGTACCCGCCAGTGCGAGGTTTTTACATTCTTTCTGGCACTGGTACGCGCCGATGCGAGCTTTTTACATTCTTTCTGGCACCGATGTGCATTGGTGCCCAGAAAAAACATTATTCGGCACCGGTGCGTACCCGTGCACAACCAGTGCCGATAAAATATTTTTTTTGTAGGGTGCTTTATACTCAAAAATCATTCAGCTCTTTTCATTCATAAGAGCAAAAATATCGGAGAAACGAGTTCGTCTGATAAGTGGTGACATCTAATCGACAACTTGATTGCATCATGTATCCAAAACTCATTTATCCAATCAACTCTGTTGATTTTCTGCTGAAATCGACGGCCATTTTTGATAGCATTTATTGGCAGGTAACTTCTTTCAACGCAAAATTATAAAGAAAATTAATTTTTTTGCTTTCAGATTTTCTTTACTCAAGTTTTTTTGAAGCAACACTCTTTTATCTAAAATCTGCATTACTTTTTGTAACTAAACTCTCTTCTATCATAGTCTTATCAGAAGGTGTTTATCCAATTTAAAATAGTATAACTCAGGTGAGTAGCAGCCATCGAATTTCATTTTTACATTTTTTAATGTACATTTCTCATTCATACGCACAATCCAGATAAGATGCCTGCAGTACCAGCTGGTTATCAACAGGGACAAGGTAGAAAAGTTACATGTTTCGATCGTATTAAAATTGGTTTTGCAATGGGCTTTACTGTTGGGATGGTAACTGGAATTGTCTTTGGTGGATTCACTGCAATTAAGTAAGAGAAAAACAATTTCATTCTGATAGTAAGCGGTAAAAAAACAGCAGAAATGCTTTTTAAAAAATTGAAAAATAAAGCAGCTATATGTCTAATACAGATTATAAGCAAACTGGTATTTGAAAGTGATTAAAATCACTGAATTCTTCTTTCTCCGTTTGTTGTGATACATCTTTTATTCTCTGGTGATCCTCATCTGCTTTAGATATGGTTTACGTGGTCGAGAACTAGTGTCTACCGTGGGAAAATCAGTCATATCAGCGGGAGGTACATTTGGAACATTTATGGCTATCGCTGGAGCTATTCGGTGTTGAAAAAAATTCCCATAAACGAATAAAAAGTCTGTTTTGTGTATTCGCGTGTTGTTGTTTTTTTTTGAGAAAAAAAGGAATTTTGTAATTCTTTTATACATTGTTATTTTAATAAAACGTGTTAAACAATTTTTTTTATTCTAGAGTGTTGAAGGCTTAAATGTTTTTAGATTTATTTTTTTTCTATAGAATGCGATATTGGAAAAGATTATTTATTAACATTTAATATCACTTGTAAAATGAGAGGGTATTACTTGACAATATACAACGATATTCTATTCAAGATATTGAACAAAAGGTTAGTCATTCGATGTTCTTTTTTTACAAAATTTTTCGTTTCAGTCAACATATTTAAAATCACAAATAGAACATGTAGCGTCAAAATTTTTATCAGCCTAAACAAAAATAGTCCCGATGTTCACTTGCAGTTAGAGAAGCATGGAATTTAACATTAAAAAAATCAGATCATTTTCTATACAAAATTTGATCTGATTGATTATGTTTTGCCATCAATCATGAGTGATTATACGAATAAATTGAATTCTAATTCTGTTCTGTCAAAAAACTATCAAATTTCATACCAAAATATTTAAAACGATTCTTTGGCACCATATATAAGTTAGCAAAGACTTTTTGGACCAATTCACTATTTGCGATGATATGAAATATAAACTACTGTCTGTCCAGTATAAAAATAATCGTCAGCATTTTTTTTTTAATAACTTCTGATTAACGATAGCTAGAAAGTTTATGTTTTCGCCATTCAAAAAAAAGAGACTTCAACTCAGATTTTTATGAAAGAAAAAAACTTAACATCTGTTATAAAAGTAAAATTGTCAGGTAATGACCCGGATATTATATAACAGAAAAAGGCGAGTTTATTGTAATAAAAAACAAAAACTTTACAACTGTTTTTTAATTTGACGGAATGATCAACTTTGATATTGTGCTTATTGGTATGTAATAAGAGAATCAGCATATGATTGTACACCGTGATAAACAATAAGAATTGATTTGTCGTTATCAGTTGTTAGTGTCATAGCTAGTGGATGATACTTTCATAGGCGAATTACCAATTATCGTATTTCCACCTAGCACACGTGCCTGAAACGTTGTTCTTTCACTGTACAAATTGACTTTTGCATAGTTATTTGAACGTCGAGCACTTATGGCAAAATAAACTTCACATCGGCATTTACTTCCTAAAATGTCAAACACAAAAGTGCGTTCAGAAAATATATACGACATCAAATCAATTAAGCTTTATGTATTATTTTCATTGGAATTTGTCAACCTTCTTGTCAATTTTAAAGACCAACAGTTTTTTTATTGTAGTACGTGCAATGCAATGAACGTATGAAAATACTGAGCTCCATTTTTTGCTTTAACAATAAAGGCATGTTTATAATTAATTCACTGATTCGTGATATGTCTCAAAGACTGTTTATCTTCTATATATAACTCGCACAACGATCGATTAAGACATTCCTGAACGATCTTATCAGCCGAGACTCAAGAAAATCATGAAGCAATAATTTTTTGCCACTGATATTTTGTTTAGAATAACGTTGATTAAATTCATCACGATGTGCGGCATATTGTTTAAACCATTGTTCATTCTGAATTCGTTCAATTTTTAATATTTGTGTATAATTTCAGTTGTTTAAGTAAGAAACTTACCTGGTATATACAAGCTTGAAGTGAACACAATGGTTACTGATGTATATCATCAGTAACCACTGTGTTCACTTCACTCTTCAGGAATATAAAAAATAGACAAAAATAAGTTAATTCTTTGCCTATTCAATAATTTAGAATCAATTTTTCTAAATTTGTTTGAGAATATCAATGATTTATTAATATTTCTCTGTTCAAGTTTGGTTCTATTATCTAAACTCTTCCTTCATTGAAATCCCATCCGTAACGGTGTTCGAGAAGAGGTCGATGCTTTACCCGAATTTCGACAATAGTATTTTTGCCAATATTGGCAAAAGTCCACTAAGCTTTCGCCAACGGCCAAAAGCCAGTGAAGGATTTTTTACCGAAATTGAAAAGCATAATCTCGATAAACTTTTTTCACATTTAATGACATTCATTACACTAATGAGGGAATCTCTTGAGGTTATAAATCGCTTTTGAACTCGGACTACTTGTATCTTGTAGACCTCAGTGAGTAGTGAAATACCCTAAGTTGGTTCATCCCCATGATCCTTTGTTGCTGAGATATTGAATTTTTAGTCAATTTTTCCCTATAGCGCTTGGATTTCGAGCAAAATCCGACTTTCGAATTTTGACTTGAAACTTGCCACACTGGTAGCCCATGGTCGTAGTAGTACGACGGGAAAAATTCGATCCTAATGAATTTTCCTGCCTTGAGATATTGAGACTCGAATATTTTACCTGAAGGTGAGGGTGAGGGTCAGATGTTCGAGTCTCAATATCTCAAGGCAGGAAAATTCATTAGGA